CCCCTTTCCTTTACTGATACAAGTTTTCCTTCTTTCTCACTTTCAAATTTTATTAGGAACATTTAAGAAAATCAACGAAGATTACAGAAGTATACAAAAGAAATGAACTGCATACAAAAAAAATAATATACTCAGTATACATATAATAGGTGAAACCTGGTGTACATATAGAATGTATAGAATATATAGAATAGAGGGCATGGGTGGTTGAGATGGGGTACCCAAATTTGGGAAAGATGGGCAGTCCGGGTATAAAAAATAAGCCAAATGTATAGTGGTAAGGAAATATAAATAGGACATTTTCAATTTCAGATCAGTGAGAGCCCTATGAGAAATTCTTGCGTACACTGGGTAACCTGAAAATGCGTGCATGATAGGCAAATATCAGCCTATAACATATACAAGTACACCAGAACATGTAAAAGGAGCGTAAGGAAGTTTTCCTCCTCTCTCTAGTCCCCGCTAACTTCTTCTTTTGCCTATGTCTGGCCTAATAACCCTCCGATGTCGTGATTTCTAGGTCTTCTTGTACCTTGCTTTCACTTCTGTCCCCCGTGCACTCCTTACCTCTGTCGGAAATGCAACAGCATATACTGATATGTTTGAGCTGTAGATGGCGCTGTAGTACATTCAGGGGCGTAACTAGAAATCACAGGGCCCCATAGCAAAATTTTGTATGGGGCCCTGTGATTTCTAGTTACACCCCTTGAAGAGCCCACATAGCTCACCTGAGGGTGACCCTGCAGAGCCCACCATAGACTCTATATGGTGGGCTCTGCAGGGTCACCCTCAGCTGGGCTGGTCACACTCCTTACCTGTCCGCCTCTTCTTCCTCCGTCGCTGGGCCCGCTCTGTCCTCCGTCGCTGATTACATTTCTGTATCAAACCATTTGACTTTAATTTTGTCCCTAGAGCTTTGTCCAGGGCCCTGCCTGCACTTTTACTGTTCTTTCTGCCTGGAAACTTGAGAACGTCAGGGAGGCTACAAAGGGTATACTGGTTTGGTGGTACGGATCAGGCAGCGCCCCCAGAATTCCCATTTACTGGACCATTTTTTTTATTATTATATTATGATTTCTTATAAATATTTATTATATTATAATTTCTTATAATTATTTATAATTAT